TAAATGTTTTAACTGTTAGCAAAATATGTTCATGATATTCCACACCCATGGCTTCTCCTGGTTATACCAGAAAGTGTTCATAATTTCAAACCATCATGATGTTCCAAAACACAGCTTCTTCTGCTAACTTCCTTATAAGATTTTCCTGAAATTATGCTATACAAAAATGGACTGAAACACAAAAACCTGTTATCTACTTGACAACTAAAATCTATCATACAGATAAAAAAGCCAAACACAGAGGAATAATAAATCATAAGCAATGTTTACCTTGCTTTCTAAGGGATATGTTTCTTTGTTTTCCCAGCAACAGCACTGTGATGCATCTTCAACAATCCGTCAAAATCTACAGGAAACCAGTCTCCTCCTTCTTGAGCCAATAACTTCGAGTTCGCCGAGTCTACCAACACACTCACGCTCCCAAACCTATAGATCTGAAGACCGTTGTGCATTCTATATGGTATTGGTTTCAACAGCAGCTCCTTCTCCTGCGCAAACAACTCTACTGCTTCTCTAAAACTCAGCTCCTCGGTGTCATCATCATCATCATCCATCTGAGCCTCGTGACTCTTAACACGACCCTTGAACCGCATCTGCTCTTGTTCCTTGTGGTAACTTGAGAACCCTATGTTCTCTCTTTCCCCTGGCTTACACATTTCCACCTGTTCAACAGCTTCCATCGCCATATCTAAACCACGTTTAAACTGAATCTTGATCCTCTTGTTCTCCGCAAGCTCCTGTCCTAATAAACCTTTCCAACCTAAAAACCAGTTTCTCACCTCATCAAACTTTGGCTCTGAACACAACCACTGGTACAAAATATCCAGCCACTTTGGGAAAAACAATCTCTCCATCAAACCAACCATTAGATGCATAGGTACCAAAGATTCCCACCTCATCACCCAATCAAACCGGTCTAAATCTTGGTTCGCCGGGTTTATCTCCAACTCTAGCAAAGCCAGCTCTAGTTTTGGAACTATGTAACGACGCATAAGCTCCTCCCAGCTCTCAGCATCAAAAACAGTTTTCCAAGGAGAGAGAAGAGTGTGCACAGAGACATCACTTGGATCCCAAGATTCGAGAATGTTACTACTCAGTTTCATCCGAATGATCTCATACAAACCTTCCAACTTCTGACCTAGCAGTAGCAGCCACGGATGCACCCAAACATGGACCGGAACCGTTTCTAAACGTGGCTCCCAAGTTTCAATAGCGGTTAACAGTTTAGGCATCACTACCGTCTCCAAAATCGTCTCGAGAATAGGTAAAGGCAACAACTCTTCCCATGTCTCTATAACTCTCAGCATTGGCTCAGGGTTTCTTGGTTCCCAAGTATCAATCCCTGACATTCTCACAGCAGGTAAAATCACCTCCGAGACAAGTTGGCTATAACTTTGATCGTCTTCTTCAACATCCAGCAGCATTTTCCAAGAAGATATAGCTTCGAAACCGTGCGCCACTTCGCTAAGAGGGTCCCAACCTTGAAACATCTTGATGAACAGAGGCAAGGCAAGTGAGGAAGCAACGCTTGACAAGTTACAAACCTTGTAGTCATCAGGATAGCTTGAAAGCAAGTTCTTGAAACGTTCCGCGAGCGAGTCCAACGTTAAATCACCAGACGCATTCTCAAGCTCGATTCGATCGATTTCTTCTGCAATGTAAATCAAATTTTCAAACTTCATTCTCTGTTTTTCTCCCTCTGTTTTAAACTTCTCCTTCTCTTGCTTCAGTCCCAAGGCTGATTCTTTCTCGTTCCTCAGATCCCTATCAATCCTCTGAATCTCATGCTCGGATATATCAATGATAAGCCTCATGTTCTGTTGTAACTCTGGTTGTGGTCCTCCTCGCATGTCAATAATGTTCTTCTTTTTCCAAAGATTTCTCCTTTCATCACCATGAGTCTTCTCACTAACAGTGACTGTAACAGTCTTCTTCTTCTCCTCCTCGACCTTGTTTAAGCCAGGAAACTGTGAAGTGTTCTCGTTGAAGTTATTGTAACCCATACCCATATTCTTCGGCCTCACTTGTGCTTCAATGGGAACAACGATTCCTTGCTCCTTCTTCCCAAGCCCACCTCCTCTGTATCCCATTTTCTCAAGCAGTTTCATACCAATCCCTCCACTGAACTTTTCAAAGTTTCCCTTTTTATCCTTACCCTCCTCGTGGATTTCGATTCCCCAGTTGACAGGCTTGGTGGTTTTACGCATCTTCCTTCTAGATCCTCCGGAATCATCAGAGTTCGAATAGTTTCCGGCGAAGATACCGTAAGTAGCGTCCTCCTTGCTCTGTTTTCGCTTCTCCGTCCGCTCGTCCGATAAACTCTCGTAACCCATGATCAAGACACGAAATTAAGGTTTCTGTAAGAACGGAAACTAAATTAGGTTTTATCAATCGAGAAAAGAGAAAACCCTTGGAGAAGAGGAGAAAACGTAAATCGCCGTTGATCAAAACGGAAAAAAATTGGAGAAGCTTTACCAAATCCAAAAGTAATTGTTAACTAATAATAACCGACTTTGACTAATTCAACGGAAGCGATCAATATTCGACCGATACGACGCCGTTTAGTGATGAGTATGTGAAAAGTGAAAACAGAGGCTGCTTTTACAATATTGTCAACTAGCTGTTGATTTCTCATAAGATTTATCCTTGTCTATATCTCTACCTGAAGGTAAGTCACGGATTAAAGATAGAGTGATGGGAACACTTGGATACATATGATCCTTCTTGTTTCTCTACGAGTATAGTGAGTGAATACACTGATGTGTTCAGCTTTGGAGTCTTTTTGTTGGTTGTTCTGAGTGGGAAGCCCGCAATTTTCGATGGATCATTTGGATGTCATGATAATATTAATGAATCATGATTATGTGAAAGGTTTACAGGAGAAAGGTGGGAATGACTTTGGTGAGAAATCGATGTATACATTTCTTGATCATGGCGTTGAGATGCTGCAAGAGGAGAAAAGAAGAAAGTCCAAGTTAAAAAAGATCTCAAGATTGACAATGGTCCTAGGCCTGTGTAGAGCTTAAAGATGTCGAATTTGACCTACTATATTGATTGTTTGAATACAAGAGGTCTTGTTCCATAATTGGCACAAAATGTGAGAGAGCAAAGAAACGAAAGAGTGTATAACTCAATCTCTCTCCAAGATTTGCTCGGATGCAACCATTAGAAAACTAGTAATCTAGTCAATATATTAATCATTAAAAAATACCCATGCTTTCGCACTTACTGAAATAAAATAAGCAACAAAAAACACAAATCAGAGTCGTGATAGTTAAGAAAATTTAACACATTTCTCTAGCTTTTGCAGAACTGAGAATATATCATGTAAAATGAAAAGCTATTTACATATCAATTCTTCTATGAAATGAGAAAGCCTCTATCCTTCAAATCTTCAAGCACATGGATTGTCAAACACAGCATCCAAAGGCTATAAAACCTTTTATAGTCTCCATCCATGATGTAACCTGAAAAAACAAAAATTCCAAATATACGTTGTCTAACAAAGAAACGACGTCATCAATTTTGTAAGTCAATACACGAGTGACTGGTCAAGCCAAGGACACCCTCAAACTCGGATGCATTGTGGTTTTTTTGAGCAAATGAAAAAATATTTATTTTATTTGTTATAGTTGGATTCAATTAAAACTGAAATTCATTCATTTAAATTTCCCCGTTATTTCTCTTAATCCACTTCATTTTACACATAAGAAGGTCAATTATTTCATTTGTATGTTGGGTAGGTCAAATTTTTAACCCATTTTATTTGTCATTACAGCACACCACTGTGTATAGAAGAGTTTCATCATCTGTTGAGCATCAAAAAGACAATGCAGTTCTGATGATTCTAGTGGCTTCAAGAATAGATTTGTCAGCGATCAAATACTTGCTGTAAATAGATTCAAGTAGAGTGAGTGAGTTGAATGAAAATCACATAACATGACCAAGATAAAGTAAGAAAACACAAATTAGAAACATGGCCAAATAAAATACCTTTTGAGTCTTTTTTTTTCTTTTTCTTGGCTTGAACTGGCTGGATTTGAGCCAAACTTGGGAAATAAGTAAGAATAGGAGGCCAGTTCCTTTGAAGTCAACCACTTTAACTTCCACTTGTGTGACTATGTGATAATTGACATTTTTATATGTTTACTCTTATACATGATGGATTAAAGATCACAAGAACTTGAGTTTAGAAATTGATATAGTCTTGAGGACCTGTCCTGTTTATTTAGAAGAAAGGAACTTGATCCGTTCTTGCTCTTGATTGTTGCATTATAAAGGTTCTTGTTTGTAAGGCTACAATAAAGTATTTGGAGAATCTTGTTCTTGATTGTTTCATTGGAACAACAGAAATTCAGACTTTTAAAATTATATTCAATTTAATAACGGGATACATTTTGACAAATTGAAGCTTTACAACTTGTATCAACGTGTAATTAACTTGATCTACACCAACAACTAACAAGTTAGTGAGTAAACTAAACAAAGACGAATATACTGTGACACAATCTACTGAACAGGAACGAGATTGCATCCTCGAGGTTTCGGAGGTATAATCTTCAACCTCAAGGGTCTATTTATTATTTTCTTAAACTCCGGTGCCTTTGGTGGAATAATCTTCACTCTCAGGGCCTTCTTTGTAAAATCCTTAGATTTCAACACCACCACCGACGTTCTCTTCCCGCCGGAGCCGATAACCCTCACCTTCGCCTTCCTCTGATCAGAAACATTCCGGAGAAACGGATGATACAACAACTCCGAAGCACTTCCTCTCTCCTCCGGATTCCTTGCGAAACACGTTTGTAGAAACTGCCTTGCGTCCCAAGGAACAGACTCTGGAATCTCTGGCGCATTCCCATTCAACAAAACCGGCAAAAGCTCCTCCGATTCTTGAAACGCCCACGGCGGCTCTCCGGTGTACATCTCCAGCACGACGCAACCTAACGACCACAAATCCAACGCTTTCTCGGCGATCCCGTCGTGAACAGACTCCGGCGACATGTAAAGAGCCGTCCCCAAATACGGAGAATCAAACTCCCAAAACTCCGATTTTTTCTCTCCAACTTCAGTCGCCATACCAAAATCCGAAATCTTCAAATCATACGAAACTCTCCACCCACCACCATCTTCCTCGTCGTACTCGTGAACCGGAAACACAAGGAGATTCTCCGGTTTAAGATCGCAATGCACGTAACCGTGACTATGAACCGAGACGAGTCCTTGTAGAATCATACGAGTGAAGTCTCGTATCAACGAATCAGGCAATGATCTTGTTTTCTCCATGAAAGAAGTTAAACTTCCGGCAGCTGCGTACTCCATAGACATCTTGTAAACTCTGACTCCGTAATCATTGACGCCTCTCGACAGAGATGTTCCAAAAGTTCGCACGATGCTCGGAGAATCTCTGAGTTTGGAGAGAATCTTAAACTCTTTGAAGAGATATTCGTAGTCGTGTGCGGTTGAGCTTTTCACGGCTTGGTAATACGGATTCGAGCCGTCGGGGTTCGTGAATTTGATGAGATCGACGGAACCGTACGAACCTTTTCCTAAGGATTTCATAAACTCCATCGACGGCTGCATTTTTTTTTTTTTTTCTCTGAACGATTTCTGATTGTGTAACTATACTTCACTTTACTGAAACCCTAATTTGGGATACGATTTGGGATTTACTGTGGAAGAAAGGAAATTTTTTTTGGGTTGTGATTGAAATTGAAGAATCTGTGAAGCACTTTCGAATTAAATAATCCGAGACTGAGAGGGAAGAAAAGGAAACTTTGATAACGAAGATCTGCCGTTGGTTCTGACATCGAGTCGATCCTTACCGTTGGATCAATCGTTCCATGCTACAAACACTTCACGCCGTTTTAGTCTTTGGCTTGCTAAACAAATCGGATTAATTTGTATATATTGGAAAAAAAATATGAAATCCCCTTCAATGTAAATAATACATACACTCTTGTATCTACCACTCACTGACTCAACCACTATGTACTTAAGAAGTTAAGAGATTAAAAAAAAAAAAAAAACTCTTATGCCCGATCAAATATTTTCTGTCACAATACAAAAAGAATATCATTCATATTAAATATGTTTTTACAGTATATGAACCTCTTTCACAGTAAAAGAAACAAAATTGACACTATAAAGTTAAAATGGAACATTCTTAAATCTTCGGCCACCACCAAAAATTGTTCAAACACAATGTTTTTCTAAGACCAAAATAATCCTGATTGGTAGTTGTTCTAAATTTATTATTCATATACCTCTATACATGGTATTTTACTATTCATACGGTCCTATGCAACATAACTCATATACCATATGGTTTACGAAATTTGTAAATTGGTCCATTTAGACCAACATAACAATATGAAGCCCAAAGCCAGTGATATCTTATACGGAAAAGGTTTATATTTCAGTGCCGTTTTTACACAATTACATTGAAAAATGATATATTTGAAGATAAAACATAATTGACTCGAGGAATAAAACAGAAGCTAACGTGTGAAAAGCAAAAAAAGAAGTTGAATTTCTAATAAATTCGCAACTTGTAATAGATTAACATGTTTGTCTACGTCGAAGACTCTTCTCGAAGTCAAGCTATATGGTTCCTCCACACGCAGCCTCACTCCAAACCCCACGGTAAACCTTTTGATAATTTCGTATTTTCTTGACTATTTTCAATTTACACAAGTGTAGTCATATTATTGGAACAAATTGTATTGGCATTTATTTAGAACTCTTGTATACTGTCGACATGTTATGTATTATTTTATACGTCTAAGGAGATTGCCATCGATAGCTAAATGTCATAAATTTGATTAGAGTTTAAAACTTAAAAAACAAATCCGAATAAAGTCAACAAATGGCCCTTGAGTTTATATCTCATAATTCTATTATACACCCACTAATGCTTTGAAAAATATATAAAAGTAGAAAATATCATAAGAAGTTAACATAAAATACAATTTAATTACACGTCTAAGATCTCTTCAACCTCTCCATTACTTGTTATTATTAACTTATAGTTACCACTTTCTGTTCTTGTTCCATTTCTTTCATCATGAGTTCTGTCAACAGGATTGATGATCAAGATTCCGACCGTTCGTTCTGGCAAAACACGACTTCTTACAATGTCAACAGCAAGATCTTACTCACCACCGTCGTTTCCTTCTCAATTATTATCCTCGTCGTCTTCATTTACTATCTCTACGCAAGATTCGTCCTACGCCACCACCGTAGATCCACCTTCCAAATCCTCTCCCTCTCCGTCGTTTCTCAGCCGCCCAAACGTGGCCTCGACACGCTAGTCATCGCGTCTCTCCCTACGTTCGTGGTTGGAGTCAACGGTGATGACGTGGCGGCTACGGAATGTCCGGTGTGTCTAACCTTGTTTGAGGAGAAAGATATAGCGAGGATGTTACCGAATTGCAAGCACGTGTTTCACGTGGCCTGCGTAGACACGTGGCTCACCATGCACTCCACTTGTCCCGTATGTCGAAATGAAGTACAGCCGAGTGTAAGGCTTGAGCCTGAGCCAAGGGAAGGGCCAGTTGGCGCCGGTGAAACGTCGTTGGATTTTGCGGCGTCGTCGTCGGAGAATAAAAGTGGCGGGTCATCGGTTTTGCGGTTAGATTCGGTTCGGAGGATTTTGACAAGGGAGAGATCTTCGAACAGGAACAATCATGCTCACGTTGACCAAGATCGTGTATTGGATATAGAAAGACAATGAATCGGTAACTTCATACACACGTCGATAATTAATCTTTCATTCGTGTATACTAGTACTCTTTGTTCCTTAATTTTTTTCTTTTACTTGAACCTTTCGTATGTGTTACTGTAAGAAAATACACATTAGTACAAAGCCGTTGTTGTTTAACGTGTGAAAAGAAAGAAAAAAAGAGTTGAAACTGTAATATACAATCCAGACAATTTTGTTATATAATTTTCAATGCGTGTCTACATCGACGACTGTTCTTCAAGTCAAACGATGTGGTATCCTCCTCACACGTTTTAACTTTAATTTTTCGTATTTTCCGGACCATGGACATTTACATTATTTATTATCATATTTATTGAGATATCACTCAATAATCATTTTGTTGACAAAAAGAAAACCTGTCTTATAATTTTTTGAATTTTATTGAAGGGTTTTTAGTTAAATACTTAAATGTACGAAATTATAATGCACGTTAGCATAGACTTTAGTGTTTCCAAAATCCAAGTTTAGTCAACAATCGTGAATATTCAAAAATCCCCTTGAAAGTATTAGCTATCTCCCAAACTTTCTTATTTTATCTACTTCATCATCTTTTTCTCCACCCACCAACTAAAGTATCAGCCTTGGAAAAAATAAAGTAAAGACTTTTGTTCCTTATATAATACAACAGAAGTTAGTAACTAATTTTGTTCACTTTGATTCCCAATCCACCGAAGAAAAAAAAAAAGCTTCACAATGAGCTCCGACGACAGAGATCATCGCTGGTTCAACAACCAAAACCACCACTCGTTCTGGCCCAGTCCTTCTACTAACGACCTCAACAGCAAGATCATGCTCGCCGCCGTCGTCTCTTTATCCGCCGTTATCCTCATCGTCTTCACTCTTCATCTCTACGCAAGATTCGTTCTCCGTCGCCGTAGAGAAGCTCTCCGTCGCCTCGGCCTCCCCGTCGTGTTCCAGCACCCTTTTCAGACGCCAAAACGTGGCCTCGACCCAACTGTCATAGCTTCTCTCCCTACTTTCACCGTCGGTGACGTGGCGGCTCCAACTGAATGTTCGGTGTGTCTAAGCGTTTTGGAGGAGCAAGACACGGCGAGAGAGCTGCCGAATTGCAAACACGTCTTCCACGTCGACTGTGTTGACAAGTGGCTCACCACTTGCTCCACTTGTCCTGTTTGTCGGACTGATGTTCAGCCAAGACCGACACTTGAGCCTGAGCCAAGAGAAGGACCAGTCGGCGACGGTGCTGCACCACCACCAACTGCACCGCCGTTGTTGGGGGAAGTTAGGGTGAATATGTCGGCGGAAGCGGTGGCGTCATCTTCTTCGTCGTGTAACAAAACAGTTGGATCATCGGTCTCACGATTAGATTCGTTTAGGAGGATCATGACAAGGGAAAGATCATCGAACAGGATCAATCACTCTTGTGTTGACAATGATCGTGTAGCGGATGTTGAGAGACATTGAGTCGACATAGAGATACATATAATGCATATAATATCATATACATACACATCGATAATCTTTAATTCAATACTATACCAATAAATATCTACTTTAATTTGATCTCTTTTTAGATATTTTTGTGTAATGGAACATTTCTTATACGTTTGGTCAAAAGATACATATTGATACAATGCTAATGTTTGATGCATTTCTAGTTAACTCTTCAACAGTGGTAAGTCAGTAAAGAGAGAGATAAAAATAGGTTTACCTTCAATCACCAAATGGTAGCTAAAGATGATGCTTTATCAGTGTGATTGCGATCAAAGCAATATCTCGAGGAAAAAATGAATTAACGAAACAGAGCTACTCGAGATTTCACTTAACACCCATCAAACGAGGAATCATTTTCTAAATTTCAATATCAAATTTGCTCCAAACAGCCTGAAACTAACAAAGATGAGAAATTTGCTGAAGCAAAGGTGCATTACTTAATTACCTTGAAGGAAAATTGCATGTTCCCTGGCCTGAAAACAAAGATGAGAAATCGATTTCAACGAGCAGCACAAATGAATCAAACTTCCATCATTCGATTTGCAATGTCAATCATAATCGAATTGCATTTTATCTGACATAAATGTAATCTTACTAGGATTGAGAGAAGTAACAGCTGCGGTGTTACTGAAGTTGCAAGCTTCATCGGCGAGGCCGTTCTTCAGGTAATAGTTGTTTGAAAACATACGACGCCATCTTCAGGATATCAGACGGATCGTAGCAAGGTCCGCCTTGGTTGATCCCGGCGCAATCGGCGCTTCCGGGACCACAGGCCCAGTCGATGGCCGTTTGAAGTGCCGAATCCTCGGCGTTGTTCATCGCCACGCACCACAGTTCCGTCTCTAGAATTTGCAGAAGTGACTGATCAGTTATGGTAAGAGGTATGGCGAAAATGGAAGATAAACAGTTTCTCGAGGAAGAAGAAGAAGATAGTGGATCTGAAAGAGTCAAAGAGATTTTGGAGTTTTCCGTGACAAATGTAAAGATGCGGGTGAATTATGTAATTGTTTACTCTTACCGGTTATTCAACTCAATTATTTTCGGTTTAAACCATTTTGGGCCTTATTAGAATCATCTGGCCCACTAACTTTGATGATAGGTTAATGGGCCTAATCAGTTAATCTCTATTTGATCATATTGCCATTATGGTACAATTTTGTTCAATGCAGTCTTACAATGAGGTAATCCGTTAATCAGTAAATCAGTAAAACTGCCACGTTTAGCTCTTTCACACTTTTTTTCTTTTCCTCTCAATCATGTAAAAACTAAAAACCAAAACGAATCATGTAACGAGAACGTAGTGGTCCAATAAAGGAACACATCACGTGAACTCACAGCTTAACCTTCAAATATGTCCACACGCGCTCCTCTTTTCGTTTGCTTTCCTTTTCACTCCATAAGCTACCTACCGTTTCCAATAAATCTATAACGATTAAGATCACGAAGGTTAAGGTCAACAAATTAAGTAACTATTAGTTTTGCTCGGTACGTAGAAATATATGTTCTGATTATTTGCAGCGCCTACGTACTATATTCTCATAGCATGGAAGAAAGAAAAACAGTACGTAGAAATTTTATTAATTTCTCTCTATATGGTTTTACCACCTTAGATTCTACATGATGTCATCAACATATTGTTTTATTACTTAAATAGTCAAATGTCGTTAAATGGCATATGCCTATAATAGTGTAAAAACTAAAAACTGTTGCGACAGAAAAAGATACAGAACTACAGATTACTTTTAGCCGTTCAAACTTCAAACACTTTTCTCTCTCTTTTATATATCAAACATAGCTCTTGTTTAACCTATATAGTAAAAAATGCTAACGATGAACGTTTTTTGCGAGAAGAAACGTGTAGTATAGAGTTGACAATGATTAAAAATAAACTACTGAGAATATATCTTAATTAGTATACAAATCCTTATACACTATCAAAAAAGAAGAAGAACAAATCAACTAGTTCTTTGTACAAACAATAAATGATGACTTCCCTTCCATAAACCCCCGAAAAAAGAAACGAAAAAAATAAAAATAAGATATGTATATCAAACTGCATCACAACTTAAAATAATGTGATAGACCAGGAATAAAAAAAGGGCATCTTCTAAATTCTTGGCCTAATCCAGGAGATTTAATAGTCAAGAACTTTGCCAAGAAGAGAGTATATGTATAAGTTGTTGATGACTTGTCACTTATCAGACATTGAGGAGCTGCTCTTGTTCAATAGACGGGTTGATGTCGACGGTCGATGTAGCAGCGGCTCCTGTCGCCGGTGAATGATTTGCAATATCCATTTTCTTAAGGCTTTGTTGTTGATACACTTCTCGAAGTCTCTCTATTTCCCTCTTTAATGATTCTTGATGTGCTGCAAATTATTTATTATTTTTAAAATGTTCCGTTAGTAGTTTTTTGTAACATTAAAGAAATTAAAAGAAAATTATTGGGCGTGCTCATATATTGTCAGTTGAATACCACGACGAAAAAATAACGCATATAAGGGGGAAAAATAAACTACTAAAAGTAAAAAGAGAGAGAAAAATTACCGTCTTTGAAAACCTTGTCTTGAGCTAAAGCAGCGATTCGTTGCTTGAGAGCGCTGTTGTCGACGTTGAGAAGCAAACGCTGGTGATCCAAGAACGCGACTCTTGGCGATAACACTGACACTTCCGCCTTTAATTTCAAAAGAAAAATAAATTCCATACAATCGATTTAATTAAGGTAATAAATCATGGTAAAAGATTTAATTATTTTAAATGGCTGGGGATGTGTAAATGTACCTGCAATGAAGTGACGCTACGTTCGAGCTCCGATATATATTGTAGTTTCCTCACCCTTGATCTCTGTGCTGATTGCCGATTTGCTAATATTCTGTAGAACCATTCAGAAAATTTAGTCAAATTTATATAAACCTTTTATTTAAAATAACAGTTTGACGCAAATTTTCAACAATAAATAATTAATTTCGAGCATCGTAATCTAATCTCAGTTAATATTTGTACGTGCATGCATTATCTTGGGATAGAGAATATGAATGAATGTATAACCTCTTAACCCTTTTAGGATCGAGAATCCGGTTGCCGGAGCTATCGCAGGAATTGTTATTCGACTCCGTACCATCCTCTGGCTCCGTCTTGCATTGGCTCTGGACTTCGTCGTTATTCTTGTTGTTTTTATCTCTAATGTTCTGACCGGATGATGGTTCTTTGTTGTCGTCGTTAAAGCTGTTGTGATCGGACGGCGTCGATGTATTCGAGGAAGAGCCTGTGGGTCCCACATTGTTGTTGTTATGGGAAGGTTTGATGTTTTGTAAGTCATCGTCGTCGTTGAACATGGACATGAATTGTTCGTCGTCGAACCTATCGAAGTGGTGGTGGTCCTCGATGCTGGCGACGATAGGAGCCTCGAGGAACGCGATGGAATCGCTTATTGAACGACGGTGGTTGACGCGGCGAGACGCTGAGAAGTCGAGGAATTCGTCGACCCATGAGGGGTTTTGTACGGCGGCTGAATCAGTTGTAGCGGCTGTGGTTGCGGTGGAGAATGGAGAGAGCTTTTGGGATGAGAAATCAGGCCAATGTTGTGTCATGTTTGGGATTTTAGGAGGAAGTTGTGCCATTGCAGATAATCTCTATGTGATCTCTAAATGCAAGAGAACGGAAAAACAAAAGTTTACCAAATGAAAACAAATCTTAATTCACGGGATTTAGAAGGAAAAGAAAAAAAGCGAAGAAAACCTTAATTAATTACAAGAGAAATTAACGTAAACCTAGATAAAAACTAAGGAAAGAAAAAAACGAAATTTGAGGGAAATGGAAAGTGGAATCAAATCAATGTCCTAAACCATAGGAAGATAGAGAAAGCAAATTAGGGAAGGAGAGGAAGAAAGGGGAAAACGGAGAAGAAGAAAAAAAAAGAGTAACCAAAATGGCTATGTTTAACAAATGGTAGTTATATAAATAGAAGGAAGACCAAAAATAAAAATTAACAAGGAGATAAATATAGATAGAGAATGTATAAGAGAGTATATGCTATGATGTAAAAATGTGATGAAAGAACATAATGAATACGATGTGATCAAAGTGTTTTATGATTATCTTTGAGTAGAGAGGGTCACATGGGGAAGAGATTTGAGATCGGACAGCTATGAAACAGCTGTCTTGAGAAGAGAGGCTATGGTCTCAACGGTATAACTGGAAAGTCTCCTCCACTGGTTTTTTGTTTGTTTTTCCTTCTCTTGAATATAAAGAAAAAGGAAAAATCTACGAAAGAGATTTGGAGGAGGAATCAAGCAAGCACGTGTTCTTGTGACCTTCCTTTTGAATTTGCTTACACAAGTCTTTCTCGTTATTTACTATTCTCTAATGCTAATGAACATTTCTCAAGTTCTTATGCTATCCTCAGCCCATATTCACTTACCTGATTTCCGACTACACTTTAAAAAATTTCTAACCATAACTTTTGACTTTTTGAGTATTGTCTTCAAAAGTTACATTTGCACTTATATACTTTCGCACGTAAACAAAAATACGTACAATCATCAGAATGTAAAAAACAACAAAACTTAAATCCTGTTGTTCTATGAATAATACCACAACTTAGCCAATATAATTTTCTTTTAGCTAATACATTTGTTTCTGTGATTTTCCGTTCTTATATATATACAAAATATAATTTTTTTTTTGTATTTTTGTAAGTAAATTAATAACTTTTGTACGAAGTAGCATACAACATTCTCTACAGAAATCAGTCACCATTTTAGTGGATTCCCTTGTTACTATATAAACAAACAAGAAATCAATGGTATAATGGAGAGAATCAATGCTGAGAGGAGGAAAAAACTGGAGTAAAGAGTAGAGAGTGAGCTGTGAAACAAAATAAAAGGAAGAAGGAAGAGAATAATGTTGATGTGTGAGTCCATGTGACATTGCGATTTGTTGTGTGTACTCCTTTTCTCTAAATCTTCTTTGTCCCCAGAACACACCCACATGTAGGACACTGACCACTTTTTTTTTCTTTCAATCGTATGGTTTCGGATTTTTGGTCTGTATTCTGTAAGTACATAATTTTTCCACAGTAGTATTCTACTAGCAGTTTGCTAAACCTTCACTAAGATAATGGAAACATACTGGAATGGAGCTTAACTAAGATTTCAGAAGTCACATGACACCATTTCCTAATTAATTCGTCTACTTGAACAATATATATCAGCTTAATATTACAGCCCACAACTTGAGGAATTGAGAAGACAAACATATTAAACATACGGAATGTTCCGTAGTTCGTACACTGGTTACGTTATACGCCATCACACAAATCACAACATGTTAATTCAATAACACAATCGTTTTTTTAAGACATTTTTTGGATCTAAAAGCAATCTCCAAAGCAACATACAGTATATAAAAACAGTGATTGAAATTGATTTTGTTCTTATCCATGATTTTCTGTCATTTTTTTTGTATGAACAGACTATCAGACAGCTATTGCAGTTTTACACCAAATTTAAAGCTTCCTTGAATCGAATTTATTTCATTACTTGTTTAAACTGTAATTACACTACACGTTAAGGACATATTGTGCCAATGAGAATATTGAATAATTAACCACCATGAGATCATCTAAACTGTGAATCACTTATAATGAGAAACTCCATTTCTACAAGGCAAAACAGAACAAGACAATCTTACACTAAATACAAAAGTTGAGGAAACTATTATCAAAGAGTTCCAAAGAGTTTTAGTTAGCTGATCTACTGGGACTCGGAGTTACAATCTTCAGCAGATTACGTCTCCTCTTAGACCGAGCACCGCGCCTAAGCATCCACAAGAGCATCAAGAAACCGATCAGAACCAGCTGAAGAACGAATACAAGCTTCATACCTGGAAACAACAACAACAACAACAAGAACATTTCTCGTTTCGGTTTTGCTCGACAACAAAATTAGATTCCACAAAAAAGAATTTGCAAAAAACCTTGGAGATTCTTGACCATGTCCTGAAGATTCCCTACGGTTAGCAATTCCTTGGGATCGTTTGTTGAACCGAGTTGTCTATCAATAGATTTGCGGTCGGTTCTAGGTTTGTAAACGTAGTTAAGGTTACCACCCATTACACATGTGTTGGGACAACGAATGCTACTCTCGTGCTCATCGCTTCCGTCGCAGCAATCTGAGAGACAGATCCAAACTATTGTTATCCATTACGCAATGACCACACACCAAGAGAGAGCTTAAACGTGGAATATTTAGTAGGATACAGAAGATGTTACTGACCGCAGATTCCATCGTTTACACGAGACGAGTATACAAACTTTGGAGAACTTCCTATGTTCCTGCAGTAAAATTTGCCGTTTGGACATGCCGATGTTCCTGTAGTAGAAACATTATGCAATCAAATCACTAAACACATACTTTAGCCTATCGACTAAGTCAAATCAGTTGGGATTTGTTCTGTTTTTGTTCTGTTTCATTTAACGATCTCAGCTCTATGGATTCTAAAAAGTTGCTAAATTTGGCAGTGGTGTTGAAGAAATAGGTGGAGGGAGAGTGAGTACCAGGCTCATCGGTGCCGTCGAGACAATCGCAGAAGTTGTCGTTGAGACGGTCTCTAGTGAATGATTTGGATCCATCTTTGCATTTGATAATTTCTGATTCGAAATACTTTTCGTCTGCCTCAAATTAAAGAAGTAGAAATATAGGAATCAGGGAACGAGATCAAAATTTACAGATTAGTCGATGAGAAAATCCAAGAAGTAAACACCTAATGGATGAACACCGACGAGAGGAGAGGTCGAATTGACGGAGACGACGGCGAGTAAAAGAGACGACACGCAGTGCAGCAGCGTAATCTGGTTTCTCGACATGTTTGTTGTTTTTTTGTTTCCTCAGTTTAGTTGCGTTCGTCTCTAAAAAGCCTCGGTTGACCGTTGACCCCCTAAAAGCCCATCTTAATGCTCAAAAGCGCATTCATATGCCAATATGGGCCTCTCAAATGCCCATATACTTAAAACCCCGGCTAGAGACGACACGCAGTGCAGCAGCGTAATCTGTTTTCTCCACATGTTTGTTGTTTTGCGTTTCCCAGGTTTTGTTGCGAAACTGCTGTAACAACTAAGTTTGTTTGTTGATCACAGTTCTCAAATACAACAACGATTTAAATCAGCACAAAGAACTAGCATTACACATACAGATAAAAGTTATTCAACGTTGATAAGTTTACAAGAGTATGTTCACAAAAAACAAGTTTACAAGATTATGATTACACATTACATTAGATTTAGAGAGCATATACATATCACATATGGATCGATCCATCTCCGAGTTATCCAAAACATTCTAGCCTCCGCTTAACTAAAGCAAACACCTTCTAGCTTGAGTATATATACATGGATCGATGTCCGTGTCATCCAAAAGCAACAACTTCTAGCTACTCCGATCCCTTCATTCTGTTCCAGCATCATCATCATCATCATCATCATCATCATCATCATCATCATCATCATCAGACATATCTCCTGCTTCCATTGGTAAAACTTAATTGGTAAATCGAAACAAACAGAGCAATAACTTAAAAAACAAGAAACGAAAATCATCACTACTGGTTTATTTGTTTACCTTCAAGATCTTCATTAACAACTTCAAGAAAGGCTATCGCCATGTCTACATAAGCTTTCAGATTCTTGTTTCGACCTGAGGTTGAAGGAAGAGACACAATCTTGCTCTTTGGGCCAGATGGTGAGGGAAGAGACGACGAAGACACATGCTTTCTCTTTGTGCCAGAAGGTGAGGGAAGAGACAAAGACACATGCAGGCCACTGCTTACTCGCATGTTATTACATATCGGCATAGCAAGATTGCTCAAAGATTCTCCTTTGTTTAAAGGAACATCTCGCTGATAACTCAGAATCTGATAGATCAAGTTAGCAAAAACAGGTCTGAACTCAGAGTACTCAACCATCTGACCCGATCGAATCACCTGATCATAGACCAATTCTCCAAAATCGAAAGGTATCTTCTTGACAAGCTTGTAAAGAAACCTAGCACGATCCATAGTCAGAGTAGTAGTGCATGTGTTTGATGTCGGAATCCAATTAGCACAGTAGATAACATGCAACGCTGATAGAGTAGTTGTAAGATCCACAATGTTCATCTTCTTCCAGTCTTTTACTCTGCCACCACTCAGCGTTTCAGCAATCACATTCAAATCCACATCATCATCAACAGATGTCTCTTTCCTTCTTACAGGGAAGTCCAAAACAGAGTTTATGAGCTTAGGAGAGAACTCATACATCTTCCCTCTGACATATACCTTGTTGTTTGTGATCTCTTCCTTGCTTGGCAAGTTTGCGTAAAACTCCATGACAACTTCAAGAACATACGGCTCAAGAGAAGTCACAGTGCCTAAAATATGACTATCCTTGAGAATCTGTTCAATTCCCAAACCAGCAAAGCTCCCAACATCTACTAATCTCTGATCAACTACTCCCTTTCGCCGGAATAAATCAAACCGGAACCGGTTTTCTTTAGTCAGGAATGATTGATTCAAAGGAGGATGAGGAGGACGACTTGCCTGTGGGTTCTTGCGATCGATTTTGGCCTGCTCTTTCCGAAACTTTTTCAGACGATCAGATGCATGCACAGTGGAGGCAGACTCCGTCCTCTCCGCAAGTTCTTGCTGGCGAATCTGAAGACTAGTTGCCTGAGCTTGCTGAGACTTCTTTGATTGATCAGATGCATCCACAGAAGAGGCAAACTCTGTCCTCTCGGCAAGTTCTTGCTTGGGAAACTGAAGACCAGTTGCCTGAGCTTGCTGAGACTTCTTCGATTGATCAGATGCATGCACAGAAGAGGCAAACTCTGTCCTCTCAGCACGGTCTTGTTGGCGAATCTGGTGACTACTTCTACTTTCCGTGGCTTTCTGAGAGTTTTTCCATTGATCAAATGCATGCACAGCGGAGTAAAACATTCTCTTTCGCTTTGGTGGTACCATCTCCAAAGTCTGAGACATATTCGACCCATCGGCACACTTTCTCCTGTTAATAACACATTTTGCATCGGATTCCACCGCTTCTTCGTCGGATTTTGAGATTGTTTCAGTTGAGCTATCAGAATCGATGATGATCATTTCCATTTCTTGTTCCTGTACAGAGAGAGAGACTCTGATGTGTTTTAGCTTTCACCGTTTAAGTGTGAGAGAAAAGAAGGAAAGAGTTCTCACTTCTCTGTTGAGTACTTGTATTTCCAGTTTACTTCAAAAGACCGGCCCAGTAAAGTCAATTTTCATTTGAGAGCCCAAATTACAAATTTGATTTTTGAAACAACGTTGTTAATTAGTGATACTGATCCACCCTAAGTAATAAGCAAAATCGCCAAACTTATGAGGAAGAAAAGTTTGTTTGAGTTGAGAGAGAACATTTTAGATTTGAAACTTGAGATCGGAGCTCCGAGTTTGATGTGAAAAGTTGTTTCCAGTCTACGAGCACCAGATGTCAAAACACTTAGAATATTTGAAACATGATGGAAGAGAATTACACAACCCTTTTTTTTTGCTTGGACAAAATCCTACTGGTTTTGGTTTTAGACGAGATAAAGAAGGAAGCTAATAATTTACAAGCCATATCAGATTCTCAAGAAAAAAGGGCAAAGATCGAGCACTTTTTCCTATTAACACCAACTACGATGATCCTATCTCATCATTAAAGAAGTCAGATAACTGAAACCAAATCACTGATGTGACGATGGCTCATTTGTATGAACGTTCGAGCCATAACTTGGTGCTATAGTCGCAGGCATCGTTGCGTCTTGAGTTAGATTGGTTGTTGTTACTGACTTAACTCCTTTGGTTGCCTTTGTACGACCTCTGGTTGGAGGAGAAGGTTTGTCAGCTGAAGCCACTTCAGGTGTCAACTGTCCCATCTTCTCCATCTTCTTCTGCAGATCGGCGAGAGGGTCTTTCCCAACTTTTCCCTTTGGACTCTTCTTTCCGTTTGTTAGTTTGAGCTCAAGCCGATACAAGGCACACACGTCAGACTCGTTGATCTGGTATTCAAAGAGATGCCACTCGTATGGACCAGGAGGTTGTGGATCCATGTAGTATGATCTCTTCTGCCCTTCTTGTTCTTTCATCAGCTGCTTTCTTGACTCATGCCACCCTCTTCCGCTGTAATCCGGAAGTGATCTTTGCTTTCGGGTTCCGCTATCATACGCTCTTCTCGGTTTGTCGAAGAAGAGCCATTCCCTTATCGTTTCTCCTTCAACAAGCTCAAGATGAAACAGCTCTGCAAAAAGGCAAAGAAACAAGTAGTAACACTTAGAATCTAAGAAGCAAAACTTGGCTCTAGTGGGACAATGTGTATATGCTCTCTCACCTGCTGCGTTCCAAGGGCATTTTGTGTTAACAGCTCCTTCACAAACTGGGATGCCAACATTCTTATCATGAGTCTTTGCACGAAGAGCATCAATCAGTAGATTATCTTTGAGACTAATGCCTCCTGGTCTCAAGACAGGTGTTGTGCCAGGGGAGCCTTCACTGAGAGCTAGATTCCCATGGTAGTCACTGCAGTAGTTCAGGTACCAGTCAGAGCCCTGAGCAGGCCTTGTGCAATCCCACAGTGCGCACTTTGGTCCCAGAAAGGCAGAGGGAGGCACACGGATGCTTGATGGAGTAGTGAACTCGGCGTAGTTTTCAAACTCCTCGGAAACGTCAAGCTTCACGGAAGGGCTGTTGTTGTCGAACTCCTGACGCATTTCTGAGAGATGGTAATCCAGCTGAGAAGTTATATCAAAGTTTCCGGGAGCTGTAGGATCAAACTCTGAAAATCCACAATGGTTGAGTTGCTGCTGGCTATGTGCTTCGCCGTTGTTAACAGCGTCCTGAGATTGGAAACATGAACCAATGGTGTCAAAAAATCTGTAGAAGAAGAAATGCAATGGAAACCAAGACACAGTTGAGGAGGCAATCTAGAGATGAATGTGACATAGAGCAGAGACCATCATAATCAGTATCAATCTGAGCAAGAAACAGTAGCTAGCTCACCTCGAAGCCACTCAAGAAATGTTCGTCGAAAGGAGTCTGGCTAAAAGTCTCAGCTGGCCATTCCAAGGCTTCTGGAGAGCACAAGCCTTGCGCGAAGCCGTTGTCAGGCTTTGGTTCCTTTAACGCACTAGTTGCATCATCTTCCTCGTCGTTTAGTTTCAAGAGACGAGCTATTTCCTCTGAGAATTGGTTTATACTTCCACCCTGCAGCATTTTCAACAATCAAAACAGAGCTAAAAGAGAGGATTGAAAGTTATTTTGTGTAATGGCGTACGAACCAGAAGAGAGGATTCCGGAGAAGGAGCGCTGAGTTCGTGTTGCCATTCACGGAGATTCTGAGAGATTTGGGCTTCCAAGAGTGCATGATCGTTAAGGCGTCCTTCCTTTCTCGCAGCCTGGAGATGGCAGAAACTCTGCTGAAGATCCATTAGCTTCTCCACCAGATTCTGATGCGCCGAAGATACACATGTGATCTTCGGATGGTTTGACATCTCCCTTCCTGATCAAAGCCGTTCACAAAACCAACTCAAAGCCTAACCACAGAGAGAAGAAAGATTCAGATGAGGAATCAACAGATTATATCGCAAAATTCAAAGCAATTGTCCCAGGAAATCAAGACGGTGTTTGGTCACCCACTCCTCCGTCTGTTGTGTGAAAAGAGTTCACGACAATAACAAAGTAGAAAATCTAAATCAAATCATCAATCGCATCAGTTCTACACCCAACCATCAATCTCAACCCTAAATTCAAACTCAACTCTTGAAATCGGGAAAAAAAATCTAACATGAGTCTAGCCTATAACCCAAAAGACGAAATCAATTCAAGTAACTCACAGTTTTCGGTTGTGATTGAGATAGCCCCGATGGGGATGGATATGAAGAAAAAGGAGTTATCGGGGTGAGGAAGAAGAAGAAGGGAACAAGAGGAAGAAGGAAGGAGCCTTGACACGAAGTTTTGTTTTTCTCGTTTCAATGAAACGCTCCGTTTCATGTCATATTTACCAAAACAACGGAGGGGCCGTTTAGTAAATTAGTGTATAACCTGAAATTTTCCATAAAAATAAGATTTTTCCATAAAAACACGCAATATTTAGGATTTACCTGTGGGCTCTAATATTTACTACTGTTGGGCTTTCTTGATAAAATTAAATGGGCTACTCTTGCTAGCATAGTATATTTAACAATATCCATCATTCTTTTCATTTTTCTTAATCTCGTTTTTGGGAAAATTTGAAATGAGATTATCCATTTACAGTTGATTGAGATTTGGAAAATGGAATATGGGGAAAACCTGGAATAAAAAAAAAAAAAAAAAAAGAGAGAAAGAAGAAGATTTCCGTTTCTTTAATTGTAGCTGGAAAATGAAAAAAAAAAAAATCATTACCATTTTTACCCAAAAGAAAAAAAGAATACTATCATTTATCAAGTGAATTTGATTTGTTTGTGACGCATTAAATTGTTAGCGTCACTGGTTAATTAATTTGTTCAGTGCCATCACATGTAAGTTTCCTTAAGGACATGAAAACGTCATTTTCTATGTCGTTAATGCATACACAAGCCTTGTTTGTTTCATTCCTTTAATGATATATACAGTTTCTTCTCAATGTCAAAAATCAACTAAATTTTGCTTTCTTCTGATCCTCGATCACTCCATTCTAATTTCTATGTTAATATGAATCATATGATGATCATTCATAAGTCATAACCATCTCTTAGTACCGGAAGTGGAAATGTGTGTTGATGCAGTTAACATATATCTAGCTACATGCATATTTATCATATATTTTGTGTGTTTGTGTGTGTATACATGTGTGCAGATACAGTAAAGAGATTTGTGGAGCCAAGATGGAATAAGATGAAAATGAAATGGCAAGTCTCCTGCAAGATATTGACACAGAATATTAATGCAATACAGAGTTCCCATACCACAATAACATTGGTCTCAAGTAACTTCCAATTATAGTAACAAGCAGACACGTTTCAGACATGAGCATCATGAGTAAGGAGCCTCCATTCAATTCCTCTCTCTCTCTCTCTCTGTTTCTTAATCATGAAACTACTTCTTTGTCTCTTTCTTTTCTCTCATTTTTTTTATTTCCACTCATCAAACCTAATCGAACATAGCCTAGCTATATTCATTATTCTCCAATATATCTGACCAAACATGTAACAGACTTAAACCCTAATAAATGATCGTCCGTACACCGCAAGTCACTCTCGAATAAGGATAAAAACCACCTTCTTTTTCCTTTCCCTTTGACTCCATACAACACAGTAAACTCCTCCATATTCCTTAGGTCCTCTGCGAAATTCTCTGTCTATCTACGGTTCTCATCATCCTTCAACTCTTATTCTCTCACTTCTGGATTAACATATACACTCCATATTTTATAACATCTATTGTTTATATATATCATGCAGGGGCGTATCATCATCATTCATTACCATTCATCACCATTTGTAGGAAAGTATGAAGAGGACGCATTTGGCAAGTTTAAGCAGCAGAAACAGATCTCAAGAAGAAGTAGAAGACACTAATGGTGACAACAGAATCATCATGAATCACTACAGAAACTACGAAGCAGGGCTGATCCCATGGCCTCCCAAGAACTACACTTGCAGCTTCTGTAGGAGAGAGTTCAGATCTGCTCAAGCACTCGGAGGCCACATGAATGTTCACAGAAGAGACAGAGCAAAACTCAGACAGATCCCTTCTTGGCTCTTTGACCCTCACCACCACATACCGAACCCTAACCCTAGTTTTAGCTCTTCATCTTCAACAACACCAACTCATCTTGAGCCTTCCCTAACCAACCAGAGATCCACAACAAATCCTTTTTCCTCTACCCGGTTTGATCTTTCGGATAATACTACTAGCTATGGAGGTTTGATGGTGGAAAGAGAGAGGAACAATGTATGTTGCAGAGAGCTCAAGAAGAGTGCCATGGATTCAGGCCATGCTGCAAAATGTGAGATAACTCGCGGAGATCTGATGAACCAGAAAGATGGTCTCATAGGGTTGGAGCTTGCAATGGGTTTGAGGAATCCAACACAAGTTCTTGATTTGGAGCTTCGACTTGGCTACCTTTGAGTAACTTTGATTTGCAATTTTATCACAAAATTATATGTAAGATATGTAGCTGAGCACTGAGCAAGTTATTGTGATTGCATTTAGGCTAGTGATATTAAATGGTATTATTATTACAGTTTAAGTAGATGGAAGTCAGAAAAGAAAACTAAAGAGCATGTTCAATTTCTTTCTAAGAGTAAAGAAAGAAAATTGAAAATGTATTCAATAATCTATTTTCTGTATTTCTTTATGATTATATACAAAATTACAAACAATGTTTGCATTCCTTAATGAGAGAGCCAGTTTCATCTTAAAATGGATGTTTTTTTATCTTATTTTTCCACTCAATATGAAAATATTGATGTGTAAAAACACCAACATTTGCTTCTTCTTCTTTTGTTACTTTATTATTGGTGTTAAATCTATCAGTTCCAATCATCCCATATGTAATTTGTAAAATATGAAATTGTAATCCATAGATCTATATAGAGTTACGTGGAGTCGGAGCTATAAAAGATTAGAGAAAGTTGGTTGCATGTGTTTGTGAGTATTAAGAAAGAAAAAAGTGATAAAGATTGCATTATTATAGAGATGGGTTGATGAGACATAGACGCATGCGACAAAGTGGTACTATGAAACATATAAAGATGGATGATGAAAAATTGACTCATGAATAGTTAATGTTTTCATCTTTTACACTCACCATCACATATAATGCTTAGCTTTATATATAACTTTATATATGTGTAATTCTCATGCATGTCATGAATGCACTTCATGGTGTGTGTTAAATTGTCTGATATATAAAACAAAAATCGTTTTCCCTTATGATCGTTGCGATAAATGCCTCTATATTACTTCAACACAAATAGTTTATAGTTGATGAATAATTGGGAGTAAATGAGGAGTTGTGAATTAATTTGATGAATTCTTGTGCCTTTTATTTTATATTTGAAACGGAGTTCGTAAATCAAAATCTAGACAAATAGCTAAATATGCTACTTTCAATGACTCATATATATCGATAGCAAAACTATTACTATTAAATCAAACACAATATAGATGTCAGGAAAAAAAATCATCACATTATATTTTTCCATCACATATACACGTGTGAGTTGTAAATATGTAGTATTGTAGTTCAAGGATGACTTCATTCAATTTGGGGATTCGAAAGTAAAATATACATATACATGATAAAACCATTAATTTGAACTGTGTTCCATTTCATGGCTTGTGATAAATACATCAATGCTTTTTTGGGCTATGCCATACAACTCCATATCAACTATACATATGTACGTGCATACTGTAATATACTAGTTATGAATGTACAGAGTACAGGCAGATCAAGAGCCAAGAGTGTAGGAGACAAGATTATAAAATTAGAAAACAAGTGATGTGAAAAGGAAACAAGAAAATGGAATGTTTGGTCAATACATTTGGGATGTTTGTGGTTTCCCCATGAGCAAATTTAATCTGACATCTTCCATCTTTCCCAACAATTTTAATTTAATATACAAACCCATCATCACCTTTCCCTTTTTAGAATCTATCACTTTCCTCTCTAATCTCTATCTTCCCGATCAATTCTTCCCCTTTATATGAATAATAATAACAGTGAGTTTATTTGTGTTTGAGTGATGTGAAAGGTAAGAGATTTTTCATCATGCACCCTGATATTTTTCTTCTTCTTACAAATTTGCCCTCAAATCTATTATGCTTCTCACAACAGTCACCTTTCATTGTCAATTATACTCTCGCACATACCATGCATAACAGGACGTCTTTTAGAATTTAGTTAGTACTTCTAGATTTCTAGTAATAGTGAGGAATTGATTTGAGCAAACGATCAGATTATTTGGCTAAAACTGTAAAACTGATAGGATTTGTTTGTTAACTGTCCAATCACATTGACTTCTGTCTCCATCTTGAAATCACATGCTTATAGTTATGTCTTCTCACCGGTTCTTTCCAACCGAAGAATCTCTTTATTTTGTCTGAGGTGATTGATCTCGAACCGCGTGACGTACAAATGTGAACGTTTTTAGTTATAATAAAGTAAAGAATTATCATATTGAGCTATGTTCATCGAAGCACCAGTGGTCTAGTGGTAGAATAGTACCCTGCCACGGTACAGACCCGGGTTCGATTCCCGGCTGGTGCATCTTTTTTTGTCTTACAAAATCATTTGGGCTTTAACGGCCCATTTTTGCTTTTCAGTCCGTAATATTTGCCTCCATGCCTCAACCACCTGACTTGATTACTTACACTGAGAGAAATCAAATGACATAGGGCTGAAAATGCTTGACTAATTTCTTTGTCGAAACTCTTGTGGCTTATAGTTTGTTCTTCAGGATAAATTCTCAATGTTAAGGTTTATACCAAAACTCAAACTTTACAAGCTACTTATCCCTTTGGA